AATAGCGTGTGCTCATGGATATATTACAAAAGAAGTATTATTAGGCAATTGTCATTCACAGAAAAAGATATTATAAGTTTATGTTGTTTATTACACAAGAAATTTATGTTTGATGCGTTATCAATTGATTTAAATCTTAATTCCAATCATTGGCCATCATACTTGTCATTTTTATATAATAATTTAAGTGATGCTAATAACAACGATAATAATGATAGTAGTAATGGCGACAATAGCAATATGATTAGTAATAACAGAAGCGGCAGAGTTAATAAATTAGTTCAATTAAAAGAATTGATTATTTTTGCGCCAATGCCAAACTGGTCAATTTTCAGCAACTTGTCAAAATATGTAAAAAAATTACAAAGATTAGAAATCTACTTACTTTCATATCCTTCAACACCATATGAAGCAAAGAGCATAGCAAATTTTATACAAATACAAGAAGAATTAGTACATTTTAAATTAATTTATCGTGATCGTCTTTTAGCATCTTCACCAATATTAAAGAAATTCAACTCATTTTTATCACCACGGATTAATGATCTTGATGGTAGCAATACGAATAATAATTTGTTTAATATGTTACTTCGGAATAGTCTAATAACAGATGAATCAAGGTGCTTACCAATATTTCTCGACTCGTTAAATACAAAACTAAAAACTTTAAATCATTTGGAATTTTCTGGAATTTCATTTAAAGGGGATCTGACATTAAATTTATTATCAAATTGCTTTAAAAGTGTCGAATCATTGGAACTTAATAGTTGCAAGTTTCCATCATCATCACCAACACCAACACCACCATTACTACCACCAATACCAACAACCAATAATCCTTTTAATATCACATTTCCATCACCATTTTCAACGCTATTATCATCTATTTGGATGCCACCAGAATTACCACTTTTACATAAATTTGATTTTTCGCCTACAGCAAATGAAAACTTTGAAAATTTTCTATCGTTAATTGCAAGAACAAAGAATCTTAAAGAAATTTGCATTTATAATATCACTGATTTATCATCATTTTTATACGGTTCAATAATAGAAAATATTATTTCATATTGTCCAAATATTAATAAGTTATCTTTACCTTTGAGAAGGGAGGATTTGCCAAATTTATTAAAATTATTAAAAAATTGCAGAAAATTAAAAGCTTTAATTATCTTTGATGCTGACAAATTTAGTAAAAAACAACCATGGAGTTCAGATGATTTGGGTGACGATAATGGTAACGATGATAACGACAGCAATGAATCAAATAAATCTGTTTGTAAGGGATATAATAATGATAACGAAAAAAATGATGTTAGTGGATTTTTGCCTCAATTTGGTAGTTTATTACCTGATACTCTAAAACATTTGGAAATCGAGTCACCTTGGTGGTTTACAGCCGGTTCATTAGAATCATTTCTAATCAATTCTAAAGCTCCATTGGAAATTCTAAAATTTAAAAATTCCCATTGGATAATAAATAATCAAAAATATTTGTTAATAGTTGAATTTTATTTAAATGATACTTTGAAAGATAAAAATATTGGGCCTGGAAAAAATACACAATTACAAATAAATTTAGGAATATGATAGTGGTATGTGGTGGTGGTGATGATGATGATGATGATGATGATGATGATGATGATGATGATGATGATGATGATGATGATGATGAT